TGCTGTCGCTATAAGGTGGCCAAATCCCTCGTCACTCTCATGCATTGAATCGGGTAATGCATCTCATGTATTAAAAAAAAAAAAAATTTCTCAATGTTTTTTGTTTATTGTAATATTTTTATTAATGTTTTTGTTTTTTTTAATATTTTTATGTTTTTTTGTTTATTTTAATACATAATGAGTGATGGACTACATCTGCCTGCGCCTGTTATGTGCCAAACGTATGGATTGCTGTCGCTATAAGGTGGCCAAATCCCTCGTCACTCTCATGCACTGAATCGGGTAATGCCTCTTATGTATTAAAAAAAAAAAAATTTCTCAATGTTTTTTGTTTATACATTATAAAAATAATTACAAAAACAAAAAAAATTATAAAAATACAAAAAAACAAAAATTTATTACATAATGAGTGATGGACTACATCTGCCTGCGCCTGTTATGTGCCATACGTATGGATTGCTGTCCCTATAAGGTGGCCAAATCCCTCGTCACTCTCATGCATTGAATCGGGTAATGCCTCTTATGCATTAAAAAAAAAAAAATTTCTCAATGTTTTTTGTTTATTGTAATATTTTTATTAATGTTTTTGTTTTTTTTAATATTTTTATGTTTTTTTGTTTATTTTATCATAATGAGTGATGGACTACATCTGCCTGCGCCTGTTATGTGTTGTTCTGCCCAACTGCAAGGATGAGAGGCATAACCTGTAACAATCATGTCTACAGTATCGGGTGCTTGTTTATACTTTTGAATATATTTATTGTGTATATTAATAATATAAATTATATTAATCTACACTTCTTAATTGCATTTTTTTGAATTATTAACTTAAAAAATAGCGGGAGACATAAAAAAGACGAACATTTTACGACTCTTAGTAGAGGGAGGGGACAGCGGGCAAAGTGGTTTTTACGGCGTGCTACTACAACAGGAGCAGAGCACAGATCTTGACCGGCGTTGCGATGGGGACCAAAAAAGCCACGAGAAATGGCAACTTCTGAATTTTGCCTAATTGAATTATTGGCTAATTGAATTAAAGAATTAATTGCTATAATTTGAATTCGTGAAACTTGAATCCTTATAGTGGGTCAGGTGTTTATAAGTACGTTTTAATATTGCATTATCCAAATTCATATAATTTATATGGGGTTGGGGAATGTAGAGTATAGCGTGCTTGGTGGGTAGGAGGTAGGGATGGTTTTGAGTAGGGCAATTGCTCCTTAGGGAAAAGTATATATTTACAATATTTAGCAGCAGCAGCTGTACTGTTTAAACTGCATATATATACAGGTGCTGCTGCTACTGCTATTGATGTTCCGGTGTTGCTGTTGCTGCTGCTTTTGTGCGGAGTATTAAAGAAGAGCCAGATAGGCGGGCAATGCGCGCTATATAGAGATTGTTCTTGTTTTTATCGCCTATAGGACTTCCACGCTGGACAAACCTGTCACGCCCCTACACCCAAAAAACCAGAATCAATACTGCTAACCCTAAGGCCTAATTGACAAAGAAACAGACTCAACTCTTGCTGGGGAGTTAAGCGTTCCGACCACTGCGAAACTGCAGACCCATCATATACTACTGCATTTATGTAATAAAGGACAAAAATATACTAAAGATGCATGCATGCGATGCATGCATGCGAAGCAAACAGCAGCAGCAACAGCAGCAGCAGCAGGACGCATGCAAGAGACATAAGCAGCAATAGAAAAAGAGACAAAAGGAGACAGTTTATGGTGTCTGCGTATACACTCCAATTGCTGCTGCATGCATGCAACAAATAAAATAAAATACAGCATGCATGCATGCATGCACGCATGCATGCAACAGCCCCAAAATATCCCTCGTCTACAATTATGAAAAAAAAGCAGATATAGAAGCAGCAGCAGCAGCAGCAGATGCTGCTGCTGCAGGAGTAACAGCAGCACGTGCCCGCAAATACCGGGCACTGCTTCTACGGCTGCTGCTGCTGCTGCTGCTGCTCCCGCTGCTACCGCAACCACTGCTCCTGCTCCTACTCCTACAGCTGCTGCTACTGCTGCAGTTGCTGCTGCTGCTGCTGCTGCTGCTAGGAGCACTACTACTCCTCGTTAGTCCTTGGGATCCGTCGTTGCTTCTGTAGATGCTGCTGGGCAGCAGCGGCAAACGAAATTGCTGCTGCTGCTGCTGCTGCTGCTGCTGCTGCTGCTGCGGTTTAGGTGTCAACTCAACAGGAGCGGCAACGACCTCACATGGATGCCGTTGCTCCTGCTGCTGCTGCTGTTGCTGCTGTTGCGCAACAGGTGATGACGCATCACCTATGGCATTTGTAGCAGCAGCAGCAGCAGCAACTGCACCAGCAGCTGCTGTTGCTGCTGCTTCTAGTGGTACAGAAGCTGCACTATCTGCTGCTGCTTCACTACGGGCTGCACCTCCCTCCGCAGCAGCAGCCAAGGGGAGGAGGAACAGCTGCTGTGTCTGCTGCTGCTGTTGCTGCATCGTTTGCTTCTCTCCATCCCCGTGCTGCAGCAGCAAATCTGTCTGCTGCTGTTCGCAGAGCTGCTCCTGCTGCTGCCCCTGCTGCTGCTGCTGTTGCTGCTGCTGCTGTTGCTGCTGCTGCTGCTCCTGGTCCATAGTAGCCGAGGCTTCCTCTGGCCAAGCTGGTGGAGCCCCCTTCAATCCTCCCTGCAGCGTGCCGCTGCCATATCCCTCTTGCTGCTGCTGTTGCTGCGGCTGCTGCTGCTGCTGCCTTCTTTTCTTTAATCTAATCTTCCTGTCATATTTGCTCGGTGCAGCATCTGCTGCTGCTGTGCTGCTGTTGCAGCGCAGACACTGCAGCGGGAGGCCTGTAAGTTGAGCACGTTTGCTGCAGCAGCAGCTCCTGCTGCTGTCGCCGCTGCTGCTGCTGCTGCTACAGCTGCTTGTGCCGCTGCTACTGTCCACGCTACTGCTGCCGCTGCTGCTACTGCTGCTACGCAACCTTCTGCACCTGCGACGAAGAGGCGGCTCTCTTCCACCACAAGCAGCAGCACCAGGTTCTGCTGCGGCTGCGGCTGCTGCTGCTACTGCTACTGCCTGCAGCGGCGGCACGCAGTGTACCCCTCTAGTAGCAGCAGCAGCAGAACGCTGACGTCTCCCCCTATCCGTGGATGATGGGCTGCTGCTGCAGCAGCACCAGCTCGTGTTGCTGCTGCTGTCGCTCTCTCCACCAGTCCATCCCATCCGTCTGCTGCAGTTGCAGCGCTGCTGGCCTTCGTGCCCCGTTGCTGCAACTTGCATGCGCTGTGGGCTGTTGCTGCTGCTGTTGATGCTGCTGCTTGTGTTGCTGTTGCTGCTGCTGCTGCTACTGCTCCGTCTAACCGGGTGAGCGGCCAACTGCGCAAATCGGCTCGTGGCTGCTTTTGCTGCTGTTGCTACTGTTGCTGCTGCTGCAGCTCGCGCTGCTGCTGCTGCCGCTGCTGCTTCCGTGCTCCGGCTCTGCAGCGGGTGCATCGCCACAGGCGAGACCTCCACGTAACACTCCCGCTGCTGCTGCTGCGTTTGCTGCTGCTGTTGCTGGTGTTGCGTCTGCTGCAGCTGCGTCAATGGCAATTTTGCATGCTGAGACACCAAAGACAGGGGCAAATAACTCGGACGCCTCTGCTGCCCTTCGTCTCCCTGCTGCTGCTGCTGCAGCTCCAACCAGCTGGTGTCTGCTACTGCCCATGCTGCAGGACACGACACAGCATCGGTCCATGGGCTGCTGAGGTTGCTGAGGCTTGTACGGCTGCTCCCCAAGCTGCTGCTGTCTGCTGCTGTTGCTGCAGCAGCAGCAGCAGCAACAGCAACTGCTGGGAGACTCCGCTTCCCATTCTCGCCTTCCGCTTCTGCAGCAGCAGCAGCAGCAGCAGCAGCAGTGAGAGCCTCGCCCTCTCCCGATGGAAGCACAGCCAAGGCCCAAGATGATTCCTCTCCCTTCTGCTGCTGGTCCCGTTGCTGCTGCTGCTGCTGCTGCTGCAAAGGAGCCCCCGTGGGGGCCCCTGCTGCTTTCTTTGGGGGGGGCGACTTATGGAGGCCGCCCCACACCTCCCTATAGGGCACAAGGCGGTGCTGCCTGCTGCTAGGCCCTCTGGGCTGCTGCCGCTGGTTGGGGGAACGAGCAGCAGCAGCAGCAGCAGCAGCACTGCAGCAATAACAAATTGCCGAGTCCGTAGGTCTCGGGGATCCTACAAAGCATGGCGCTGATGGTGCAGGTAGGACAGGAAGTCTTGAGGGTCCTGCTGCTGCTGCTGCTGCTGCTGCTGGTTCTGCTGCTTCTCCCGCTGCTGCCCAAAGGAAGCTGCTGCGGGGAGAAGCAACTTGGGATGACACCCGCGATTGCTTCGCCACGTCACGTCTAGCGCGTGTTGCTGCTGCTGCTGGTACTGCTGCTGCAGCAGCAGCAGGAGAAATACCTGTTGCTGCTGGAGCGCTGTATATGCACTCCTCCCTCTGAGCATGCAGCAGAGGGCTCCCAAGCAACTGCTGCTGCTGCTGCTGACCAGCAGCAGAACCTTGCTGCTGCTGGCGCATCAGCAGCTGCTGCTTCCGCAGCAAATTCATTTGCTGCTGCAGCTGCTGCTGCAGCTGCTCCAGCTGTTGCAGCTGCTCCTCCACAGTACCGCTCGATAGGATATGCGGAAGCTGGTAAGACTGACTCCCAGATATTGTTGCTGCTGCTGCTGATGCCGCATTACCATCAGTAGCAGCACCACGTCCAGCTGCAGTTGGCAGCTCACGTTCAGCAGCAGCAGCAGCAGCTCCTTGCCCATGTAGAGACACAGGCAAAGCAGAAACTCCACCGGCAACTGTCGGTGCTTGCTGCTGCTGCTGCTGCTGCTGCAGATGGTGCGCCTCCCTCGGTGACCTGCAAAGCGTCGCTGTATCTTCAGCAGCAACAGTACTACCCTCTTGTCTATATGCGCCGGTGCTGCTGCTGGTGGTCGTCGTTGGTTCTGCAGCAGCAGCAACAGGTGCAGCAGCAGCAGCAGCAGCAGCAGACCCTCTTGCGTAGCCGCGGAAAGACAGAGAGAACAAAGAGCGAAGCATTCCTGTTGCTCCGCCAAGGTTTTGTTGCTGCTGCTGCTGTGGCGGTGGTGGCTGCTGCTGCTTCTGCTGCTGTTCCTGCTGCTGCGGCAGCAGCTGCTGCTTCGGCGATTCCAACGAGAGCCTGCTGCTGCTGTTGCCGCTGCTGCTGCTGCTGCTGCTTGCAAGAGTAACGAAGTCAAGGGATTCCTTCTGCAGTAACTTTTGCTGCTGCGGTACAATCATTAGGTGAAAAGGCGGGTGGTGGCTATGCTGCTGCTGCTGCTGCTGTTGCAGTGGCGAGCCCGTAGCAGCAGCAGCTGCTGCTGCTGCTGCAGCAGCAGCAGGAGGGGGCAGCAAGAAGCGCCTCGCGCTGCTAGGCGGAGGAGAAGGAACGGAGACAAATTCATCTGATAAGAAAATGTCACCTGACCCTTGCGGCCTAGGAGAAGCAAAGGCGAAGCTGCTGCAGCTGCTGCAGCTGCTGCAACTGCTGCAGCTACTGCAACTGCTGCAACTGCTGCAGCTACTGCAGCTGCTGCAGCTGCTTCTTCTTCGTGTTGTATAACTTCTACTGCTGCTGCCCCCGCTGCTGCAGTCTGTGGCTGAAAAACTACCCCTTGCTCCTGTTGCTGCTGCTGCTGCAGCAGCAGCAGCAGCTTGCCTCCTCCCTGGCTGCAGTAGCTGCAGCTGCTGCGGAGACAGCTGAAGGAGACAGGCAATAGTTCTTGCTGTCAGCAAATCAGAGTGCCGTGGTGATGATTTGCTGCTGCTGCTGCTCTTTGCATGCAGCAGCACGAAGCCCTCAGAGGACTGTGAGTGTTCTAAGGAAGGAGAGGTGGAGGTAGGTAAGCTTCTCTGTCTTCTTAATCCCCCATGCTGCTGTTGCTGCTGTTGTTGCTGCTGCTGCTGCTGCAGCGGAGGAGGCAGCAGCCATGAGGAGTTCTGCTGCGGTAGACGGAGACGGCCAACAGAAGAAGAGCGCAAAGCTAAGCATAAACAGCAATTCTTATCCACAACATCCTGCTGCTGCTCCTGCTGCTGTTGCTGCTGCTCCTGCTGCTGCTGCTGCTCTTGCTGCTGCTGTTGTAACTGCTGCTGCTGCTGCTGCGCAAATCGCACACAGCAGCAGCTTACACCCTCTACCGCAGCAGACAGCAAACGCCAGTCTATATCCACTGTCTATACAACTGTAGAGACAACTAGCTAATTAGCTAGCTAGCTAGCTTACTGGCTAGCTAGCTGGCTGGGTGGGTAGCTAGCTAGCTAGCTTACTGGCTAGCTAGCTGGCTAGCTAGGTAGCTAACTACCTAGCTAGCCTCCCTATGGGCTCTAGCTATTCAACCATGTAGTCCCCAAGTACGCCAGGTAGCAACCTCGCTAGCTAGCTACTGCTGTCTGTAGTGCAGCTGCAGCAACTAAGCAGCAGAGCAGCAAAAGTTAACAGCCGTCCCTCAGGAGAACCTCCTCATCTAAAGAAGTACCGCTTGCCTGTCTTGCTGCTGCTGCTGCTGCTGCTGCTGTTGCTTCTGCTGCTGCTGCTGCTGTGTCTGTTTTAGGAGACAATAAGCTGCAGCAAGCAGCAAAAGTAACATAGAGACACACAGTATATTCTTTCTTCCCCCTCTATACAAGCAACCAAGAATTCTGCTGCTGTTTCTCTTGCTGCTGCTGCTGCTGTTGCTGCTGTTGCTGCTGTTTCTCTTGCTGCTGTTGCTGCTGCACTTGCTGTTTCTGCAGGTGCTTGTATTAGATAGATTCAGGTGTATAGGCAGGTCTGCAACAAAATACCTGTCTTGATCCGTTAACTTCTTTTCCCCCTTCTCCACCTGCTGCTGCTGCTGCTGCTGCTGCTGTTCCTGCTGTTGTTGCTCTTCCTGCTGCTGTTGCTCTTCCTGCTGCAGCAGATGATGGTGGCGTTTATGGTGTCTATGGTGCTGATGCCTATGGTG